GAAACGAGGAATAACTGTGAAAAGTACTAGCGTCGCGCTGTTGTCTATTATGTTAGACAGAGGTCATAAATTTACTGGTATATATATGCGTGTGTGACACGAAACAAAACGGTGAATGATTAGTGACATTATGTAGAATTCGATTGTATCAGTTTTGACCAATCAGATTTCAGGAGGATCTTTCTTCTTTGTTGTCAAGGCAAGTACTAGCTATGTTGGGGCTGATGCTAGGGTTATTGAGGACGCTCTATCGAATGATGGGTATATGTGTAGATGTCGACCTTGCGCTGCATGGAGAAATTGAATATCGTGTTTTGACTGATCGATGTAATGGACTAATCAGATTTCAGTAGGACTTTTCTTCCTTATTGTAAGGATAAGTACTAGTCATGTTCAGGCCGATGGTAGGGTTAGTGGGGACCTTCCGTTGAATGACGGATACATATATATAGGTGTGAATCTCCACTTTGCAGTTTACCAAGTAGTAGAATTTAATCATTCGACTGGTCAAATGAAGTTGAGCATTGAAATTGCAGGAGTGGTTTTCTCTCTCATTTTGAGGTCATGTCGTTGTCACGTTTTAGTCGTTTCTAGGGTATCGAGAATGCACTTCTAAACGGCCTGTAAATCGTAGTGCTAGGGTTTTCTTATAGTTGTGAAGTACTGTGTGGATATCTGATTTGTGAGTTGAAATAGATCGATAATCTGGTACAGCATTTGCACGTAGTTAATGGTCGAAAGGGATGAATGTTTTGTTAGGTCGTTTTTGGATAGGTGTATTATCAGTTAAATGGTTGTTGACGATCGGTGGATATGATATCCGGTAACATCTACTGTGTACGGTACATGACAATGGTTTATGGTATGCTTGTTTACGGTTTCCATATTGCTATCGTGCTCGTGAACGACCATTGTTCATAGTCATCGTTTCCGATCGTCGTAGTGCGGCGTAAACTGTCATAAACAATTGGCAGGAGGAAGTACCGTAATCTGCTCATGAATAATAGGTCGTCTTATTTTGGTTCACAAAGAACGCATATGGGTGTCGTATCGTTACGGTAGTCGTTTACCGCTAACTTTTATGGGTGTCATGTACACTCACTGTAATATGCCGTGGAGCATCGTTTACAGTTGCTGTAAGGGTCTGGTGAAAATGGTCACCCTTATCTGCCATAATCAGGTGGCGTACTGTCGTGTATAGCCGAGCACGATTGACCTAGTTATTGACCATCTACTTAATAGTGGTCCTCTTAGATATCGATCATCTCCTCAACAGTGGTCCGCAATAATATAGATGATTTCCCTAGTGGTAGTTCTTATAGATTTCGATCATATACTCTATGTTGGCCCTCAATAATACAGATGACTTACCTATTGCTGGTCCTCCTACATATTAATCATCTCCTGCATGGTGATCCTCATTATTTTAGATGACCTAATTGATGATGCTCCTTATAGATATCCATCAACTACTCAATGTTGTTGTTTAGTATGATACATAATAGTATACAAGTGAAAATACCGTGTGAAAGAATAAATGCATATGTTTTGGAAAAGTCTTGTATATAAAGCGTTGGTTGAACGAAGGTAAAATTTGTAGATGTGGGTGGATGTTGATGTGGATAAAGCGAAGAATCAGAACCACACTCACACATGCACTCTCACGCACACCCACACCAACTCACACCGACATTCATACCCACATCCAAAATGTGCTTTTCTTATTTCGTTGAGTACTGTACATTATCAATTCATCTTTAGAGATTCGACTAACTACTATCTAAATTTGATAAACTAACTTGATATTATCTGTATAATCATATGATTGTGCCATTTTCTGATCTTTTTCTCTAGCTTGTACATTATGTATTTGTACAGGCAGTTCTTCAATATTTCCTTGTTGTGCCTCCAATTTTCGCTAATAAGCTTTGCTGCATTTTGTTGCACTGTTGTGTCGATGATTGTTCTCTAGTAAAGTATTATAACGAACAGTGGAATGTTCCTATCCAAACGAATAAATAAGAAATTTTCGATAGTATACATGATGGCATATGATTTCAAGCGAAACAGAGCTACCCTGTCATTGCTTACTAGAATTTGAACAGCCTCTACGCAAGATTTGATAAAATTTAAGCTGTTTTGCGAAATTATCATTGATATCGTGCAATGAAAGGGAGCGGTTAGCTAACTAACGAAACCATGAATGGCCATCTAGAAAACCAAAGCGTTTCGTATTTATTATGCTAAGCTTCCGATAATTTTTTTAAGTCTTTTATAATGGTTTTGTACACATTGTACGAAACCAATAATCGTTCCGTATATATAGTACGAAACCACCGTTAGTTCCGTAAGTGGTAAAATGGTTCCGTGTTACTTCTAAGGAACTATCGATAGTTTCGCAAGCTATATTATGGTTCCGTATTCATTAAACGAAACCATTGATAGTTCCGTAGAACATCTAAAGGTTCCGCATATAGAACACGAAACTACCCTTAGTTCTGCAAGTAGTAAAATGGTTCCGAGTAAATTTTACGGAACTATTGATGGTTTCGCAACCTTTATTATGGTTCTGTATACATTATACGAAACAATTAATAGTATCGTGGAACATCTAAAGGTTTTGTATGCGTGACACGAAGCCATCGATAGCTTCGTGAATGATATAATGGTTTGGCATATCTTCTACGGAGCCATGTGTAGTTTGGAAAGTGTTACAAAGGTTTCAGACACATTTTACGAAACCTTGAAGAGTTTCGTCACTTATCTGAAGGTTCAGTGTACATGTCACGAAACCATTGGCAGTTTCTCAGAGTATCTAAAGGTTCCGTATTAATTCTACGAAACCCTTCATAGTCCCTGAAGTGCTCTTGTAGTTCCAGAAATGTTGTACGAAACTAGCCGTGGTTTCGTAAAAGACATACCGAGCCATTACATCTTTTACGAAGCTATGAACGGTTTCGTATAATGAATACCAAATCTTTTGATGCTTTACGAAACTTTTGATAGACTCATATAAGATACATAAAACCTTTGTGTGCTCCACGAAACTATAAGTGGTTTCGTAAAACATCAAAAGGTTCGGTATAAATTGTGCGAAGCTTTTCACAGGTTCGTAAATGATGTAATGGTTCGGCATATCTTTTACGAAACCATGGCTAGTTTCGTACAACGTTTCCGGAACTATAAGAGCACTTACGAAACTATGAAAGGTTTCGTAAAACTACTACGGAACCTTTAGATGCACTACGAAACCGTTGAAGGTTTCGTAGAAAACATGCGAAACCTCTGAAAGTTCAGTACACAGTGCACGAAACTCTCAGAGGGGTTCGTAGTAAAATTTCGAAACCTTCTTCGGTTTTTAGACCTTTAAAAGGTTCAGTGTGAAGACTACAGAACCTTTTTCATCTCACGGAACTTAAAATGGTTTCGAAAACCATTGCGAAACCTTGAAAGTTTTGTAGAACACCTTTTTTTTACAGTGTGTAGTAGCACCACGAAGACACTCCTGTCGTTAGGTTCTATCCAATTGCATATTTTGTTTGCATTCTATTTATTTCTTCAAAATTATTTGAGATGTAGAAACAAGTGTCTATACAGGAATTTATAGATTCTGGCAGTGCATGATATTCTGTATCTTTTCATATGTTATTCCTGAGTAAAAAAGACAAGGGGTAAATGGCGGATTTTTGGGATTGCCAATCCCGTAAAATCCATATGAAATCCGTGATATCCGTAAAATCCGTAAGAATCCCTGAAATACGATAAAAATCCCTAAATCCCAGAAATCCATAAAAAATCTTATAAATACATCAGATATCCATGAAATACATTATTTAAGTCAGTCAGATATGACGTTTATGTTGTTTGTTTGATATCGATGAAGTCATATTTTTGTATATTTCACTTTAAAAAATTGCTTTTGTTAGATATATTGTGTCTGAAACATAACAATCTTACGAGATACTGTCTAAGCTCGAATGTAAAACACCTTGTGACAACATATATAAAGATAAAAGATTTGAGAATACGTTTGCTATATATGCAACTATCTGGTTAATCTGTTATCTTCGATGCAAAAGTACGGAATCTGGATTCTCCTGACGAATAATTTGCAAAAGAAGTTACAAAATGTATGTGCAATAGAGAACTTTTCAGAAGTGCAAATACTGATCGGTATATCGTCTAACTTATCAAACAAAAACTAATCAGAACAACAGTTTATTTCTCTTCAAGCTCATCAAGAAAATTTCAAATTCTAAAACATGTATGATTATATATTTTCTATATATCTCCTTTATCTAACCTTAGTGTCAATCAATGCCTTTGCAGGCTCTTGACACATCTAGGGGTGGGAAGTTACCGTTACCGTTACCTGGGTAACTTCTCTAAAAAGATGAATTATTACGTCCTATCAACAGGATTTTGCAACTACGTTATTTTTTAAGTTGACCCGTTCCCAGGTAACTGATAACGGGCAACAGTTACCAGGGTAACTGGTAACTCCAAATTTTTTTACTGCTGTATTGTCAATATTCGGTCTAATAGAAGTGATATATAGTCTTTTTAAAAAGTTACCAGGAAAAAGTAAGTGGTAACGATCCCGTTACCACTTACTCGGGTAACTGGTAACTCCTTCCATAGGAACCGTTACCGGGTAACGGTCTGGGAACGGTAACTGCCGACCCCTAGACACATCCATCTTACCATCTGATGCTCTCTCTTTTAGCGATAATAGTTTTTACGGTTTGGCGAAAAATATTGCAGGAACAGCTGAAGCAAAATTACTTGAAATTTAAGGTATTCGAAGCGTCTATTCTTTTCTTCATACAGATGATGTCTTTGAAATTCTTACAATTTCATGTTCTGCTTTAAATATCATCAAAGAATCGGTTTGTTTTGAAGCAGATGACAAAACTTTCATTGTCAAACCAGGGTGTCGGAGCAATATTCGATATCTTTATCAGCTTTTACATCAAAAACATGAAGAACATTTAAAAGAAATGTCTAATAAATCTAAACGTAATAAACAGCCGATGTCGCAACAAGATGGTAATGGTCTTATTGATAATACCCAAGATTCAATTCAATTAAGTTTAACACCTTCTTCTCAACAAAATCATACAACACCATCGAGTTAGTTTGATTCTAATTTTTATTTTTATTCTATTGGGTCGGTCTTTGCATACTAAATTGACATATCTATTGTAAAAACTTTAAAGAGTCATACACTTCTATACACAAAATTGTTTATCCTGTTGAAGATGTTTACTGTATGAGCAGGAATGATTTTTAATTTGATCCTAGCGATATATGCTAATGCAACGGAAAATATTTCAACTTTATTTTGAATAAAATTGTTGTAGCAATTGAAATATGGATGGATGGAAAAAGGCAGAAAGGAAAAATGTCGAAAGGAAAAAATATCGAAAATAAAAATGTCGGAAACAAGAATTTGAGATGAAAATGAGCATGTAACATTGAATTGAGGTCGAGGGGGACTTGTACCTCAATATACTCTCGTTTTCAGCATTTCTATCCATCTACGTTTGTATTATTTCTGTTTTCGATATTTTTATTTTCGACATTTTTCCACTTCGATATTTTTCCTTTCTTTTTCCATCATACCTGAAATATGAGCTATCAACTTTGTAATTAGATTTCAGATCCCTTCTATATCATTCCCCAACATTATTAGAAAGAAATTGTTAGTCTGATTTGTTAGTAGTTAGTTTAACCATATTTCCGGTTCATTGAGAAATAAAAAATTATTAGAATTAAATATATTAATTTAGATAATTCGAACATAATCAATCGTTGTGATTTTATAATTTATACGTTGAACGAATGGATTAACAAACATGATGTTGAATTTGGTATTCCAAATATGAAATTAATTGAAAATGAAGACTTTCGGCTATTAATGGATGATGATGAATCTGATAAACTAGTATCTATATCATGTTCGTGTGGAATTAATGTTCAGTTAGGCATTATTCGTGGAAACATTTCCTTGAGTAATTATTATAAACATTTGAAATCAAAGTCGTGTATTATTAAGAAGAAAATGTTGAAACGGATCAATGGTGAATCGACCGATATTGCTGATGGACAATCTTCTGATGCTGAAAGATCACAAAATAATTCAAATTCTGAAGATATATGTTGCAGTTGAGTTTGGAATATAGTTGGAGTGGAATCATTTACTTTATTTTGTTTGTTTATAAATTTCGTTAACACGCACACAAGAAAATATGTTTGTTTCTTATGAAGTTTATGTTTATTGTTATTTCTTGAATAATGACAATAGACTCCTATTTTACTCGGTTGATAAAGAGTTATCTCAGTTTTTATTTATTGTTTCTTGTGTGAGTATATAGATTAGTCATGGTATTGATTTCAGTGAAGTTTTAAAAGATAATAATGCTGCAAGATGATTTATTAAAACATAATTTCTCGCCTAATTCGTATGAAATATAGTTAAATGTTTTTTCTAATGCTGGGGACATGGGGACATTGAACGATTGAGTGAAACGAAATATAGAGCAAATCAGTCATCAGTATTATTCTATATTTGAAATTTTTTCGAGCAGCGGGACATAGGGACACAGAGCGATTGGTTGAAACGAATTTAAAAATTGTTGAGTCATTACTTTATTATACTATCAATTTTTGAAACGCTCGGGACGTCGGGACATAGAGTGATTGGTTGAAACGAATTTTTAAAATTGTTGAGTCATTACTTTATTATACTATGAATTTTTCGAAATGCTCGGGATGTCGGGACATAGAGTGATTGGTTGAAACGAATTTTGAAATTGTTGAGTCATTATTTTATTATACTATCAATTTTTGAAACGCTCGGGACGTCGGGACATAGAGCGATTGGCTGAGACGAATTTTAAAATTGCTTAGTCATTAAATAAAAATAGTCAACATTAATTATCTTATGACTCATGCTATAATGTTTGCTTGTTTGTTGATTCCGAAGTCAACTGAATTCTCAAGTCAACTGTGACATTTACAATGTCTAACATCAACCATTTCTATGGATGAACCTGCAACTATAAGTAAATCAAATAAACGAACAACTGATCCAGATAATAAGAGTTTCTCGAAAAAAAAACGTATTTGATAACCCATGTAGCCGATTGTTGCATTATCATGTAATTATTCCCATTATTTTCTATTATAATGCATTATAATGGAAAATAATGGGAATAATTACATGATAATGCAACAATCGGCTACATGGGAATGCATTTATTTGTATATATGTATTTATAATTAGTGAATATTTTATTAATTCATTTATTTGTATTTAGTAGATTTTTACACTTTTTGTTTGCTCATGTGAAAATTTTTCTTGGGTATTACTGTGTTTTATTTCTACCTATTTGAATTGATAAAGACAAAAATAGAATTCATATGATTTATTTCGTGATATATGAATATACCATACGTTATCTTGTGTGTTAGTTCATATTTATTTATCTAACGGTCAAAGTTGTTCTTGCTGACCTTCTAACGGTCAAATATTGAGAAAGGAAAAGATTTATTCTATAAAATTCAAAATGTATGTTTCAAAATGACAAATTATTGTCTCTTTCACTTATTTTCTCAGCTAGAAAAGTTTTAATTCTATATATTTTCTCTCTTTCCATTAATATTTTTTTGTCTGCATATATATATCAAAGAATTTTCTCTTTAAAATCATTTATTTTCTGTTGCTATTCAAAAGCTCACACGTTTATTTACATTCAACAAAAAATCTTTTATTTTTTTTCAAAGAAAAAATAAAGAAATGCTTCGTACGTTTCCACCACTTGTTTTACCTGATGATGTCCTTTCTTTCAAAGAAGAAAGATTTATCGACTTGGTGAACAAAATATATGGAAGTATTTTTAAAGAATTGATGGAAGTACTTTCAATCAATACAGTATACAAATTACTTTTAGTTGAAAACGATATTCTCTGTCTTTCAGAAAAAATATCGCGAACTGAAAAAAATAACTGAAAGAGCTTGCCTTCATCTCGATGATGGTAGTATCTTACTTATGCCTGGATTACGTTTGGATTTTGATCGTTTCATTGGAGCTCTTCATGCTGCAAACGACAAGAATCAACACCAGGAACAAACACTTAGTTCGAATAATAATTTTCTTTCATTGTTTAAAACATTCGTGAAGTCATTTCAAATGAATGAAGACAAAGATTCAAGAAATAATTTTTCGTTTCTGTTAGTTTTCATTGAAAATATTTTGAGTAACCTTCTCAAAAATAAAAAAAACTATCGATACGACGAAGCTGTACTGCAATTTGCACAATCGTTGTATATATTGGGAGGGAGAAATGCATATGAATGTATTCGTATGAATCTTCCAGCAGCCCTTCCGTCTTTGTCTACCTTGAATGATAGTCTCAAAAAAGCTGGAGGATGTATAGAGGAAGCGGAATTTCGATTCAATGCCCTTCATGAACATCAGAAGTCGTTGGACTATCAGATAGCCGTTTGTTCCGAAGACTGTACTGGCGTGATAAAAAAAAGATCAAGTATAATGCTTCAACAAACACTTTCAGTGGGTTTTCAGCTCCATTGAAACATGGTTTACCCGTTGCTCGTCATTTTCATACTGACTCTTTCGATCAGTTGAGAAACTGGTTTGAGACGCAAGATAAATCATCTTACCTCAAAATACAAATGGTACAGCCTTTGTTTGCATCTAATCCATATTCATCGCCATTTTTGTTAGCTGCCTATAGGCTCACCAATAAGTTTAAAGCAGTTGATGTTCTTCATCGATGGTTATGGATATTTGAAAAATCTCGAGAATCGAATGTTCGTATTGTTGCATATTCCACCGATTGTGATGCTCGATACCTTCTTTCTATGAGACTTGCAACAGGATTTTTTGCAAAATATAATAATATTGCAATATGTGATCGTGTTGATGCGCTTGAAATCAATTTACCACAAGAGTGGAAAGCTTGGTTTTTCATGCCGATTCGGCAAATCTTTTTCTGTTTTCAAGATCCAGTACATCTGTGTACGAAACTTCGTAATCGTATGCTTTCTGATACATCCTTTCTATTGATTGGAAAAGAAGAAGTTTCAATTGAAGTACTAATGGAATTGATTGAAAATAAATCAAAAATTGCTCATGATCTTGTTAAGACGGATATCAATCTGAATGATCGACAGAATTTCACATCTTGTCTCAATCTCTCAGATGATGATGTACTTGTAACGTTAGAAGATATTGAAGGTTCTCAAGCTACACGAATTTATTTGCGTCTTTTACGTAATATCGCGTTAGCGTATGTAGAGCATAATACATCGACTATTGATCATATCTATCATAGTTGGTTTGGAGTATTTTGTGACGTACATGGCAAACTTGGTTACATGTAGTGGATGAAACAGAGATGCCCGAATGCTACATTGATGAACGAATAAATAATATGTTCATCACTACTCCAGCACATTTCTCAGTTGAACTCAATGCTCATGGTTTACTTGGAATTTGCCTTCTCGTAGCACAAAAACAACTACCTGAATATGCTCTTTCTATATCGAATTACCATTCACAATAATGTGAATCTACGTTTAGACTTACTCGATCGATGTCAGATGTCTTTTCATCAATAGTGAATTTTAATATTGAACAATTTCTTAAACTGGCCGGTAAACTTTCGGTGCTGACCGAAATGGAAAACTAGAGCGAGTCTGGTCAGCTGAAATGTCCACTCAAGTTTCCTAAACATCACAAACGACGACGGAAACAAACTATTTTGAAAAAACAAATTGCTGGTTCATCTATAAATGGTCTCACGATTGACAACATTCAAAAAACTGTTTATCGAGCATTTGATGATGCATATAACCTTCTCTCTAGAGCTGATGTCAATAGTGCTCTACAAAAAAACGAAAAAAAGTACGATTTCTCAAATGAGCTCGTTTGTGCGAGCTCAGTTTACCAAAAAATTTAAAAAAGTCTCGTATGATGATGTTGAAACATATTCGTCTGACGATGAATATGAATATAAATATGAAATTGATCCGTCAGCGAACGTAGAGGAAGAAGACACATCTGATGATGAAGAGAATATATCCCCTGTTTCAGCCAGTGGGAAAACTCATTTTTATGTGATGAGAGTATACGATAATATCCATTCTTCTCAATCAAATTCTTATTTTTGAGTTGAAATTGACGGGAAAAAAATTCATTCATAAACTAAACAGACTGATTGCTGGCTTTTAACCGATGAGAAAGCATCTCTATCAGCTGGCCGAGTTAAACGAGTGCAGCAGGGAAATCAGTAAATACTTGACAGAGTAGTGTAATAAATTCTATAGATGGTTAAATCGTTTTTGTTCTTTCTTTTGCATTTTTCTGATTTTTGTTACTTTTCTTTGCTTTTTTTTCAATAAAATACGACAAACTAAGATCCTCTGAAGTCCCGGTTGGCTTGATACCCATTACAACAAGTGACGTGTCTAGGCAACTGATGATGACAGGTTTTTTTTACTATAACATAACCTATTGTCTTTCATTATAATATTCTGTGCAAAACCTTTGAAATACGAAAAAAATCTCTGAAATACCATAAAAATCCAGAAATCCCGTGAAAATCCCAAAATCTTCTGGAAATCTGATAACAATCCACAAAATACAAAAAATACGAAAAAAATCCTGGAAATCCCGGAAACACGCAATCCGCCGTTTCCCCCTTGGAAAAAGACGTAGACGGATGTTTAGTAGGAACCTCAAGTGTTGTACTAGCTGGCAGCACAATACAATATTATTCCAATTCTCTTTCTATTTAGAAGGTTCTATCATTATACCTCCATTTGAGATTAAAATGAGAAGCATATTAAGAGTGAACCGAAAAACCATAATAAGATGACAAATAGTTATGAACAAAAAATTATTTCTCAAGTATTATTATGGTCCCAATCAGCAGGGTTTTCTTCAGACATTTGACGTTGGTCTCCACCATGTCGATTTTTCGTCAAACTCATTCCTTCATAAAGTATCTGTTCACGCCCAGTCTTTGAGATAATTCCGAATATTTTATATAATTCACTCCAGAACTGAGCTATAATGATAAAAGCTTCTGAATACAGAAGAACTTTAGCAGTTTTGCATAATTTTGTCATTTATAGCAATACCAGTGGTCTCTACTAAACATTCGTGCACGTCTTTTTGCCGTTGAAGTAACATACAGAGTTGCAGATATTTCCAGTGCTATCGGAATATATATTTACGTTTCTAGAAACCACTAAGTATGTATCTGAAATAATGAATATATCGATTAAAACAACCTTCTTCGAAACGGAGATATTGATGAAACATCACGATACTGTTGAAAATATTTTGCATACAAAAATTCAATGGGTCAGAGTTCTGAGAACGTTAGCGGGTGTATTTTGATGTACTATTTCAAATGACACTATTTTCAAGCAGTTCTACTACACAGTTTCGATCCACATACCTTACACACCAGGAAATGTCATCTGAAAATGAAGGATGACACCAAGCGAAATTTGTCCATGCATGAGATACTTTCATTATTATCAAAAGATAGCCCATAGTCGATAGTATCTATGGTGAAAATATCTCAGGGATGACATCTATTGTTCGTTGGAAAATGTGAACTTACTTAAGAGACGGTCCATGAGAACATCAAGCATTTTTCAACAGGGCCATACTCTCGAAAATTTTAACCCCTATATTTTATGATTGCAGAAGCTAGAGCGTGATGAGAAACCTATAAATCCAAAATTTTAGTCTATTCAAGCTCACCGTTAAAATATTATAAAGTACACACTGAATGCACCCTCGGAGTGTTTTAAAAGAAGTTGTTTTTTTTTATGCAAAATTTGGTAAGTCAGTATTTGATCATTCTCTCCATAGTAAGTTATCAGAATTTTTCCGAATCATATCTCATTTGATAGAGCGAATTTCACTCTACAAAACTGTATGTATGGTTGTCTCTTGAACGTTCCTCTTATAGGTAATTTAGAGCCAAAACTTCATCAACCCTCCTTTTTTTTGGCATTTTTCCTCGTTCTTTTTTTTTCCTTCAGATTATATTTTTCTGCTAATTCTACAGGGACCAGAAATTTTTTTATGGATTTGGATAGAACAAAAGAAGAGCTATCCAATGAGTGTAAAATTATTGACACGCAATGAACACGTGACCTTCATATGAGCCACACAAGATGTTCCGTCAACATACTAAAAATCATGTTTTTCATAATTTTCTTATCTTCTTTATGCGTAATTCAGCTCTGGATTTTTCAAAATAGAAATTCAACTTACATTAATTTTTCAGCATTAAAAAATGCATGAAACAGTTCTCTCAAAACATTTTAAAGTCATCCATGTCACTCAATTAGCAGTTCTTGAATAATATGCATAGCATCATAAATACTTGAAGGCTTATTCCATGGGGTTTCTTTCAAAAAAAACACAACTATATTCAAATCGATCGCATATGCCCTTGTCTTCTAGAACATAATGACTTGTTTTATGCTAAAAAAAATTAGCTTAAACACACGTTCCTTCACAATGATATAGAAATCACAAGTAGAGCAGGAAAATGAAAAAAATCGAAAATAGCGTAAAACTTGGAAAAATTACCAAATCTTCTGGTCTTAACTTTTTTATCATTATTTGGGCGAAAATGATTTCTGACTATATATTCTTGGTCCTCAAGGTCTCGCGCCTTTTCCCATATGTAACATTGATTAGTTATCCTTTTTCTAAACACATGTTTTCCTGAGTGATACTGAAATTCGCGACACAAATGAAAATGTTCACACGTAGTCTCTAGAAACCGAAAATGGCTATATTACTGGGCATAGTAACATCGTGAATTTTGTAGAGCAGATCGTGCTCGATCACACCATATATGCGAAATTTCAGCCAAATTTGAAAGTGTTAAAATATAAACATAAACTTCTGTCTAGGTAGTAATTTACTATTAAGAGAGGATCCACGAGACCATCGACTATCATTCCAATATGCGGGACTCTCGATATAGCGCTTAAAGTTTTTCCTTCATTCAACGCACTTATGTCTAAAACCACGAACCCCAAATTATTAGGCTCTGATAATCGTTCTTTGAAAAGTTAGCCAATACTGAGATTTAAAACTATTATATCTTTTTTGAGAAAAAAACAACAAAAGATACCTTATAACAATCTATCAGCTGGTGTTTCAAAGATCGTTAAAATTTTTCATCCTACAGACCAAAAGGTCGAGGATTAAAAGCTGATCTAAATAAGCTATATTGATATGACATAATATTTAGTAGTCAAGATTTTACAGAGACAACATGACTCAAAGAACTTATTTTTATTAGCCCCGATACAACAATGTGCCTCCTGCTTTCTTTCATCATTCGACATATACATGCTGAACTTAATACATATTGCTGAGCTTTTTGTTTCTCTACAAAATGTTAATAAATATTCTGGGCAAAATGGTGAACTTGCTGCAAAACGGAGCTGACATCTGATTTTCGATGGTTTTGAGTAGGCATGCACCGAACCCGAACGTTCGGGTTCGGGTTCGGTCCGAGAGTTCGAGTTCGGGTTCGGGTTCGGAATATAAAGTTAAAGGTCAGATATGGCAATAAGGGGAAGGCTGTCAGGGCTATTATATATGAGGGTACCAATAGGTCCTCAAGGGCTGTTATATGAGGGTATCCATAAGGTCCTCAAGGACTGTTATATGAAGGTACCCATAGATCCTCAAGAGCTATCCTGTGGGGATACGCATTGGTCCTCAAGAGCTATTGTATGAGGGTACCCGTAGACTCTCAAGGGCTATCATATGGAAGTATCCATAGGTCCTCAGGAACTATTATATGAAGGTACCCATAGGTCCTCAAGAGCTGTTATATGGAAGTGCTCATAGGTCTTCAAGAGCTATCCTGTATGGTTACCCGTAGGTTCTCAAGGGCTATCGTATGGGAGTAGCTCTGGGTCCTCAAGGGCTATTATATGAAGGTATCCATAGATCCTCAAGGGCTGTTATATAAAGGTACCCATAAGTCCTCAAGGGCTGTTATACGGGGGTGCTCATAGGTCCTCAAGAGCTATTCTGTGGGGTTGCCCGTAGATCCTCAAGAGCTACCATATGGAGTACTCCTGAATCCTCAAGGGCTACCATATGGAGTACTCCTGGATCCTCAAGGACTATTATATGAAGTAACCATAGGTCGCAAAGGGCTACTATATAGAGGGACCCATAGGCCCATAATGCTATAAGGGATTAGGGAATAAGGATATAAGGGATTAGGGAATAAGGGTAAAGGGGTAAGAGGCTAAGGCTACAGGGGCATAAGGGATAAAACTAAAAGAGTATAAGGAGATAAGGGCGTAGAGTATAAGTAGATAAG